CTCATACTCACGTCTCAAACAGCAGCTCCCGCCCCCCAATGACCTCACGAACCCCGCCGCACCGGCCGGCCACCGCCACGCGGCACGCGGCGCCGGCCCCCAGTTGACCAGGCGGCCGCCAGTTGACCCATGCGAGTTGATGCATGCGCGCGCGAGGGCTTGCGCGCAGGCACATACACACGCCCGTGCGCGCGGGACCAGCGCGCAGCTAGAGGTTGGTCCACTAAACCCTTCCACTCGCAAGCCCAGGCAGCTAATCGGCGTTCTCGACGCGCCCAGGCGCATCGCAGCAGCGCGCCGACCCATCCAGCCCGGCGGCGGCGCCGCCAGTGGAGCACGCGCGCGCGTGTGCCCGACGGCGCTGCCGCGGCGCGCCTGGCGGCGCTGCACGGGGCCCCCACTTGCTGGGCCCCAACTGTCGTGGCGGCAGTGCCAGTACTGGTTGTTTTGTTCCCGCCACTGCGCGGTTCCAGCGCCAAGCAGCGGCCTCGCCGCCCCAGGCAATGCACTTCATATACCTCCGGACTGCACCCTCATATGCTTTGCTGCCGGCCGGCCGCGCGGCGCCGCGCCGCGCTGCACCGCAACAGCCCCGCAGCCCGGCAGCTTCTCTGCGGGCCATGGGCATTTGCGCGGCAGCTTCTAGGTCAGGGCTCGTGGCTGCGCAGCTTCCAAGTTGACCGGGGCCGCTCGCCCCCTGGCACCACCTCACCTTGCGGCCTAGGACTTTCTATCAGACCACTCCCCAGACGTGTGCATGCATGCGAACTTGACCCGCTTTTGGCGCACAGCCCAGGAAGAGCGCGCACTTTTAAGCCAAGGGCGACCACACGGCCTCTCCAATTGATTCTCTCTGCATATGCGGTTGGCGGGGGCGCGGGCCCACTGGCGCGCGCTCGCACCGCGCACGCTGCACCCGGCGCCCTCCTCCCATTTTTCCGCTCATGCCGCCGGGTGCCGAGCCAAGCCCTGAACCCTGGCGCACAGGCCCTCCGCGGCCCCGCACCGTCGCGCCGCATGCCGTCGCGCCTGCTTTGCAAACCTGCCGACGTAATCAGTTGCTTCACGGGCCGCCGCTTCCCGCGCCCGCCGCTTTTGTCGTTGGGGCGAGCCCCACCCTTTTGACTACGGCCGCCCCTGCTTCCTGCGAACGAGCCGCTCGCTCAAACTGGTGCGGGCGCCCTTGCGGCCCCCATATCCCCCTCCTGGCTGCCTGCCGCCAGCATTGACATTCATATGTGTCCCATCAACTGGAGTAACACCGGATGCGTGCGCTCCGTTGAGTGACAACTGTGGGATTGAACGTGTGCAAAGAGCGGCGCTACTCAAGCTGGTGCCCACGTCTGGGGTCCGCGCAGGCAAGTGGATGGGCGCCGCGTGCTGGGGTGCCGGCGTGCGGGATCCCAACCCTGAAGGGTGGGAGCAAGCGATCAACAAAAGGGAGCGGCCCATCTGATAGCTCTCTGCAAGATCGGCGAGCACCAAGAATAGAATGACAAACGACGGTGGCCATTCAAATGTGCAGCGTTGTGTCTGCATTCAGGGAGCTGTGCAGTCAAATCTGAGTCGGCAGTGGGTACTGTACGGGGACCCCGGTTCAATCGACTTAGGGTCTTCACAAAAAGCACCTAAAAGGCGGTGGACAGTGCCACAACGCACTGTGCAGGCAAGGGGGCAAATGATGGAGGGTTTGATGCTACCAGCTTGGATGCGGCTTGCGCCGGGCCGCTGCACGCCCACAACGCCGCGGCAAGTCGCGCTCCCTTTTGCAGGCTGAAATGGTCAAGAGAGGCGGTCAAGCGGAACCCAGGCAACTGTCCCGGGGCCAGCTGCTGACCGCTTGACCAGTTGGCAAGTGCCCCAAAATGTGCGTTCAGTGCCGCCAAAATCCTCCACAATATGGCGCGGTCAGGCACACGCGGACGTGCATGTGCGCACGGCGAATGCACGCACGCATGCGTGCACATGCACACATGCGTAAATGCGTGCGGGTGCACGTGGGTGAATACACACGCAGAGTATGCACACACACCACACACACACACACACACACACACACACACACACACAAAACACACACACAGAACACACACAAAACACACATGCACACACACGTTGACACAAGCAAGCAAGACAGATCTTGCGAGGGGTTCTGTGGCATGGGAAAGTGCTCAAACAACTCAATAGATGCCACCCGATTGCAACACAAATCAAGCACCAAGTTGCTCAAGCGTGCTGCAGCACGGGGTGCACGCACTTGCTCGCAGGGGCGGGTATGCAGCCGCCTTATGACCGAAGTGACGCAGGGCCCGCGTCTGCGAAGCATACACTCTAGCCAAAACAACGAAAGGCGCGACCCCGAGGTCAGATCTCCGAATCCGCAGGTGCCCGTGTCCGTCGGGCCGCCGCGGCTCACAGCGGCCGGATCTTGGTTGGCTCGCGCCACCGCAGGGCGGCCGACGCGCCGCCGCCGCCGTCGCTGCCGCCGCCGCCATCGACGGCATCCGCGGGCCCGCAGAACTCGGGGGACCACGAGCCGTGGAGGCCGCTGGGTAGGTGGTGCGGCAGCCAGAGCCGCGCAACGGGGCCAGCTGACACGCGGGCGGCGTCGAAGATGCACAGGGTGCCGCGGCCGCGCTCTGCATCATAAACAGTGCTGATCAGCCACCCGGCATCTTCATCCGTCTCCTCCTGCTCCCCCTCCTGCCCCGCTGCCGCGCCGCCCTGCGGCCCACTGTTGTCCCCCTCCTCGTCGTTGCGGGGGGTGGGGTCGATGACGTCATGCTGACGGCGCTTCGGGACGAAGATGGGCTCCATGACCAGGCTGCGGGGCCCGGCATACCTGAGAATTGTTCAGAGCAAGATATGTCAGTTATTCAGATATAAGTGTTGTGTTGCGTGCGCCTATCGGGGGTGCAGTGATTTGGGAGTTGTGCTGTTTGCGCCTGTGACGGCTGCGGTGAGTTGGGGGCTGTGTCGTGTGCGCCTGTCAGGAGTGCGCTGTGTGCGATGTTGATACGGGCCCGAGCCGTCCTATCAGCTGTGCGTGCATCCGTTTGCGAAATGCGGTTTGAAGATGCAATGTAGGGGACGCAGGAACGTCGAATTGCGTCTAACAGTCGGGCAGCGCAGGTGGGCTTCCGGCCAGCCGGCGATCTTCAGCTCGGGCGGCGCCGCAACTGCCAGCGGCCTCGCTCGCGCGAGGCTGGGCCCCCCATGGATCGCCAACACCCAGCGGCGGCCCCTGCACCACCTCCGCCCAATGGCTTGCCATAGTGCTAACCCACGCACGTCGCCCGCCCCAGCCCCTGCAAAACGGCCCCCCCTTTTGCGCCCGCAGCCACCCATGACCACCCGGACGCGTACACCCCACCCTGCCAACAATCAAGCGCACATCCGTCCAGTCCACGCACCAACTCTCGATCCTGGTGTCCCTTCCGTAGTCCAGCGGCCGGTCTAGTCCGGCCTCCGGCGCCAGCGTGACCCTGCACACGCACTGCAGGGGCGCCCAGAACACTTCGTCGTCGGCCGCGTCGCCGCCGCAGAATACATGGGTGTGGGGGCGCGCGTGGAACGCCGGGTTTACTGACGGAAACTCGAGCGTGCGGCGTGCGAGGCGCGAGAGGACGGAGGCGCCGCTTGCGAGGTTGAGTGCGACTCGCGCAAGGTGCGTGCGGGCGCCACCCCTGGGGTTGATGAGAGGAGGCGGGGGGAGGGGGGAGGAGGTG